ACAACCATCCGAAAAAGCAAAGCGCGAATTGGGATTTGGGAAAGCGGACGAACGCTCGTTTTGTGGTGAAGAAGATAAGAGAAAATGCTGAGAACAACACTCCCAGTTGCACCGTCTTCTTCTTCGACGTGTTGTCTTTCAGTTTGCAGACCTTCAATGCGGTCGCCGTCTCCGAACCTCTCTTCTGTTCGCATCAATGGCGACGATACCAGTGCCTCCAACATTAACAATCCTTCTCGAAGACTCGCTCTCTTTCAACTTGGCACTGGTGAGCATTTTTTGTAGCTTTATATACTTAAATCCTTTGATAGAAACGTAGATTTTGTTTTTTACCTGAGGATTGCGATAGAAATTTGTGTTTGGTTGCTAAGAAACTGAGGAAACTAGAAAGGAAAACGGATTTATTAGTAATATGCTCTAGGTTGGCTCAATTCCTCAATATGTTTGCTGTATGCACTGCAACTTTTTGTATGAAGTTGTGTGGAGCTGATGCAGCGAAAATGGAGTCGAATCGGTGCTTCTATCGACTGAGATCTTAGCCCTTTTTAGCTATTTTTGTCCCTTTGCAATGAGTATAGGAGCTTGCGAAGGAGTTATTCTCCTGATTCGTATAGCAATGAAGACTGTAATTGAGCTTTTTGTTCTGTTTATTTTCCTTGCTTATCAGGCTAAATGTTCAGTTATTTATGTGTTTCTTATGGCAGTTTGAGTTAGGAATGATTCATTAGCTGTGCATTTGCGTACTTGCATAAATCATCCAGAAACATTGTTATACTTCCCTTGATGGTGGTTGCGTCAGTCATGGTGGGTGACTATATTTGGAATAAGTGTAAGGAAGAGGCTTTCTAGTTTCTACTCTGTGACTCATATTTCCCAGTGTAAAGAGTCCTTTGTTGTTTGATTCTTCATCTGCACGATCCAGAGTGTAATACATAGCTCAAAATGTATGCAAGTAGGCTTTCCATGATTTTTTGTTTTTCCTGGAGAGCTGCCAGGTGCCTACCCCCATTGTTGGGCCATATTGCAAGCGTCTATTTTCCATTTTTGATAACGAATTCACAGAACTTGGATATTGAGGGAAACAGTGCTTTATATTCTTTTCTTTTAATATTTTAGTTGTCTACTTGTTCTCTGCTATTGCAGTCTGGCATTTCTTAAGTTCAAGTATGTCTTATAAGAGAAGGGTTCAAGAATGCAGACTATTTATCAATTTCACCTTTTTAAATCCATTTTTGGCATATATGCTGGGTGGTAATTATTTTCCATACCTTTCTAAACTGGAAACCTAGATCTGTTATTTTCATAGAGAAGGAGATATATTACTTTATTAGGCTCCTTGATCAATCCTACTGCATTCATTTATTAATTGAATACAATAAATAGGAATTTCCGTTTCTACGCTTATGGAACTAGGGTTCATGTTCAATTATCCAGCTATTCCTCAGTCTCAATTTTTTGGAGCAAAAGCATCGAACTTATTGAAGGCAGAGAGAAACACAATCGAAGGTAGTGCAATTGATAGATCAGCATTAGTGAGTACTGCAATTAAGGAGCAAGATGCATTGGAGTGGGCCAAAAATGACATGAGAAGAATGCTCCACGCCGTTTATCGAGTTGGTGATCTGGAGAAGACTATAAAGTATGCCTTCTTGTGGATTTCACTATGGTACTTGACACGTTTACTTTTAGATAATTCAGCATCTTTTGAGATGGTTAATTCGTTTTCAAATTGCAGATTTTATACTGCATGCTTAGGGATGAAGCTTTTAAGAAAACGTGACATACCAGAGGAGAGATACTCTAATGCTTTTGTTGGATATGGACCTGAAGATTCTCATTTTGCTGTAGAGCTTACTTATAGTGAGTTGTCTTCTTATTTGAAGTTGTTTGAGTTTTCACATTTGCACCATATCTAACCTTGAAAAGTATTGATTGGATTCTGGTAGGTAACTTATGGGATAGTTTTTGGTGATTTGTATTTTAATTTTGCAGATTATGGAGTTGACAAGTATAAAATTGGAAATGGATTTGGTCATTTTGGTATTGCAGTAGATGATGTAAGTTCCTCTTTTTTAAAATGCAAACCAATACTTTAGTCTGGGTATTCTTCCATAACTGCTTGAAACCTCTTTTGGAAATTGGTTAAAGAGATAGTGGTAGAAGGGTGGAGTGATTAAGCAATTTTGTGAGGCTTGGTTGCCATATCATTAGAATATAATTTTATTTATCACTATTTTTTGGAAATTTCATTTATCACCTCCTGAATCTCAAGTAGATGTCAATTACCAAAGAATTAATTCAAGAAAAACCATGCCAAATATACTCCATTAAAGGTTGAATGGCTGTAGCGTCAATGACTTTATTGGTTCATTTGCATTTTCCTAAAGAGGTTGGTTCTGGAAATGTAGTAGCATTTGTAACCTACATTGAAAATGTGATCTTCTTATAAATGGTCTGTTAAGATCATGTAGTTTCTACCTTTGTGATGCCTTGTATCTAAGTTTACAAATTACAAACATAATTTTCAGTGATTAGATATCTACATTTAGCATCATTCCTTTCATTTCCACTTCCTCTTTCTATCAGAAGCTATTTCATTTGTTCATGTTATAAAATTTGGTGTGATTTATTCTTGAATTACTCATAGGTTGCCAAAACAGTAGATCTCATAAATGCAAAACGTGGAAAAGTTATCAGGGAACCTGGTCCTGTCAATGGTGGCAAAACAATCAATGCTTTTATTGAAGATCCAGATGGCTATGAGTTTGAACTTTTGGAGAGGGGGCCTACGCCTGAGCCTTTATGTCAAGTAATGCTTCGAGTTGGCGATCTTGAGCGCTCAATAAATTTCTACCAAAAGGTGAGCATATGTATGGTTAAGAAGCTGCTTTGTTTATCTAAGTTCAGAAGTATAACTGCCTTGCTTGGATCTTGATCTTTGTGTTTCCTGGATTTATAGGCTTTTGGTATGGAGCTTCTCCACAAAAGAGATAATCCTGAGGAAAAGGTAAAGAGATACACCTTCATGTTTGGGTATTTCTGCTTCCTTCAACATTCTTCTGGAATATGCATCTATGTGTGAATCCTGATATGTTCATGAACTGTGATCAAAGCACAATATATACATACATTAGGATCTTCCTGAAGTCTGGTCTGTAGGCTCTAGGTTGATCCTGTTGCATTGGTGGACTTCAGAATGGGATGAGCATGGTATTCTTTATGTGGTCTGGATGTTATATATGTTCTGGATCCATTCAACATCTGAGTAGTCATGTTTCCGATGCAAAAACAATTGATTTTACCTTGAAGCATGATGCCTTTATATTTGTTTCACCATGGCCATGAAGGTTCCCTGAGTGCTGTTGGATGTCCTTTTCTGTATTAATTTATGGCAATATTTAGTGTCAGATTGATGAAGTCAGAAAGCATTGTTTTCTTTGATGGTGAGGCTGGCCATTTTTTGTTGCCCTTGAAGCTTCTCTTTTTCCTTGTCTGCTCATTACATAGGTGTGCCTGCATATTAATTCTATGGTTAATTTTCAATTGTGCATTCTTTGCAGTATACAGTAGCAATGATGGGCTATGGTCCTGAAGATAAAACTGCTGTACTGGAACTGACATACAACTATGGGGTCACAGAATATGATAAGGGAGAAGGTTACGCACGGGTAAATTCTTTACCCTTTTCAATTTGTTTTATTTTTAGGTTCTAGCTGCGTTTACAGTGTTGATTTTCTCTTCAACCATGTATCTTATTATTATATTCCTTTTTTAATACTCATCAGGTCATACTTAAAATAAACCTTTTTAATTTACCAGATTGCGATAGGTACCAATGATGTTTATAAGACTGCAGAAGCAATCAAACTGTGTGGTGGAAATATTATTCGTCAGCCTGGTCCCCTCCCAGGTATCAACACTAAGATTACTGCTTGCTTGGACCCTGATGGCTGGAAATGGGTATGGCTTCTAACACTTTTGATTGATTTTTGAGCTTTTATGATCCTTGAATGATATTGTTCATGGCTTGTGCTTATACAGGTCTTTGTTGACAATGTCGATTTCCTCAAGGAACTAGAATGAGAAAATTATCATATTAACTGCCATACCTGTTGATTAACAATTTTGCCCGTTAGAATCTTGGCTCTGCCAAACCCCTTTTCCCTCTTGAGGGACCTCACTCACAACAGAACTTAACCAACATCATTTGTAGATCTTGCTATACATTTTTTTTTTTTTTTGCACACAGTATATGACTAAGAGTTGTTATTACTGCAATTTTAACCCAGTGCACATCATGTTCCTTGGAAGTTGGAATATACATTTCAATATAACTACTTTTGAAAGGAGAAAGATCTAGTTTTTCATCAATCCAAATGTTAACTTCTCAGAATCATGTTGTATTGTTACGACAGTTCAACATATGCTGTATCCCATCAGTCCACATAAGTTTGTCACCTTTGCTTCTGCACTCAAATTCTATTATCCTGTCTGCTGTTTTTATCCCAAAGTAAGCTCTCTGCTCAGCACCGTTCTCACTTTCCCTTCCGGACCATGCTGAAATGTCAACGCAGACTCCTGAGACTACGCCTGGTGGTGGAGCATGGCTACACTATTAGCACAAGAAGAGGTAAAAAGGAAAATTGATTTGTCACTGGGCATGATAGTTTGCTTACATTTCTTTTTTTTAGTGAATGTTCCTGCCATATGCTTGCTTTTCATTTTTGCTACAACCTGTTTTTATTCAAAATCTTGAATGGTCATATGAAATTTTTTTTATTGTACATAAAAATAAAAGTAAATAGGAACAAAGAAAAAAGAAACCACTACCTCGGGATTTGTGGTAGAAAGCGAAGATATTTTGTATTTTTTAATGAATTGTAATCTAGAGAATTCCTATTAAAATTGAAAATGTTTCAAATTCTTTGAACTTTATCATATAGGTATTAGAATTTATCTTCGCCTGTTTATACCTGCAAATTAGAGTTTATGTTGAAAGACACTTTCTTCCAATGTAAAGCTCCTGCAGTAAACATTTACTTAATAATAAGTGTAATAGGTATAGGGCAATTCAACACGATGAATATCTGATGCTTCTGTCTAATATTCTTGTGAAAATGTACCTTTCCTTGTACGTTTGAGGAGTTCTCCTCCTCTAGAGACAAAGTTCAATGTTGTTGTCATGTCCAATTGATTGCCTACTTCTCCCTTTTCCTCTGCCAGAGCAAAGGCCGTAATCCCAAGTCCTTTCTGCAACCTAGCTCTTAGCATAGCAGCTCCTCGCAAGGCTGCACTAATACTTAGTTAGATTAAACTAGATGGTTTTCTGATATCATTTTAAGAATTGATGACATCTCCAAGAAGCTCACTGGAGATTCATAGCTATCTGTGTTACAGCTATTTCCCCTTGGCTTATTAGTGTTTATTTGAAGCCAGGCTTGTCTGTAACCAGTGACTAGAGTAAATCCATAGGTGAAGGTTTATAATAAAGGTAGATGATGAATTTTCTAGGAGCAGCTAAACATGAGTGAATACCTGTAGCTGCTCCAGCTGTTAAGGTCATTATATCTCCATTCGTTCTTGCATTGATCGCAGAGTTGACTGCTGTTAATATTTGGTCATGATCAGCCCCCATGTCCTCTGCTACCTCAATGCAGTGAGATGCCACCAGAGCTGCTGCAGATGCAATAGCAAGTGATGTTTTAGGAGCTGTACTCTTTTGGCAGGAGGTTGCAATTTCCATTGACATAGCATTGGAGGCAGTAAGTGCAGCAACAGCGGCTGCAACTCCAGCCACTGACACAGCTGCATGGAGTTGTGCATTGTGTGTTCTGATTTCCTGTTTCTTCCTCTCTTTCTGATCTTTCAACCATCTTCCCACCGTTCGCCCTCTTACTAAGCTCTTGTATAGCTTCAAGGCAATAATATCAGCTGGTATCATGATAAATTGATAATGATAGATAAAACAATTGTTGTCACGACGTTGAATTAGGACTTAGGAGATACCCCATTTTTGAGAAGTTGCTGACTAGAAAAGAATTCTGGGTTGAGCACTTGATGAAGTAAAAATAGTTCCTGCAAAGGTGTGGTAGATAAGTAATTGGGGCAATTTACACCAGCTTGGCATGAAAGACTGTCAAATTAAATTCAAATACCTTCATTTCTTCGCTGTCTCTTGGGGAAATTGGTGGGCTATCTCTATCATGCAACTGCTGATGTAGCTGCAGTATATATAACAGGACAAACACAAAGATGATTCTCTTTCATAACTCAGGGGCTAGACGTTATTGGAGCTTTTTAGTAACATGCAAGGAACTCAAATGGAATTGAAATGGATATATCTTCTATATTGGAAAGAATAGTTTCACGGGTTGAACTGAAGAAGGAATGGATCTTACAGTTTCCATGAAAACAGTAGAAGAGCTCATATCATCGATTTCGTTTGCAACAGAAGAGAAGGATAACTTCTCATGGTCGTTGGAAGCGACATTCCTCTTTGAGAGTGCTTTTGAGAGTTCCATAGCCGAGAGGCTCCATGATCTGGCAAGAAATTCCATGGACTCCGTCGGAGTCTCCGGGGGAGGACAGCTCAGTTGTTGACAACAGGTTGCAGGACCATCTTCGTCTATGTTCTCTAGCCTTTCTGACGTGCCTTTTCCACTACATGAGTTCACTAACACAACAGCAAGCATTCAAGTAAGCTCAGTTAGTATTCTATTTTCGTGAAATTAAAGCTTACATTGGTTAGAAAGCTTACTTTTCTCTTAGTAACTACTTTGGTCCTTCTCATGCGTAGGAAGAAAGTGAGAAGAGGCTGATGAAAGGGGAAGGAGCAGTCCGCTATTTAACATGGGAAATGAACTAAGTTGCATGTTTCTTTATTGAAAAAAATGAAAGAGAGAAGATAAGGTATATATTCTTTAGTACCAGAAAGGGCCCCCATCAAAGGTAGCGCATCTTTGTCCTCAACCTACTCCTGTTAGCTTTCTTTTCCACTGTTTTGGTGCTTTGTACATGAAAGACTGGAGGCTCTTTCTTTTCTTTTGAATTTCTTTAGCTGCGTTCTCATTATGACTTTCATTCGCCTTTGTCACCACTAAGCACTGTCAAAAGCAAAGGACGGGGGACCCCTCTTGCAAATCTGACCAATATATCAGCTTTGATTATAGCCAATTCCTGCCAAGGACCGAATGTCTAGAAGGAAAAGGGCCCAAACATATTTGAGTGTCGAGAAATTAAATTTTAAAGCAAAGGACAAAGCGACTCCTAACAAGGCAATTCCTTTGCACCTTAGTAAAGAAAAGGACAATCGTGTAAATTCAGACTTATCAGATATTTTCAGTAATTCAGCGTGCAGGTGGAAGTTTATGATGGAATGGAATGATGAATAGGGATTTTCGAATTTTTAGAAAGGATTTAAAAGAGACAGGATGCATGGACCTGATGTTCAGGGCTAGCCGGCTAGGAAAGTTAGTGGCTTGGACTTATCTGCAAATGGACTTGCTTTGATTCAGCTTGGTATAAACCATAAAGAGATCACCCTGTTTCTGGTGTAGACTCTTGGTTAAAAGCAAACAATCCATGCTGGATGAATTCATGCTTTGTCAACGAAACCACAACCTGAGTGGCAGAATATAAATTTAAGCAGCTAGTGGCTCCAATAAAGAGTAGCAAAGAAAGCATTACATTGCAGAATCAGCTTATATTTTTTTAGTAATTGCAACTACATAAATAAATTGATACAGACAGCTAAGCCAGGGAACTGCTCCCCAAGATCACGAAAGTTCACCATAGAATCTGGAATCTCAAATATTTTATTCCGTTAATTTAATCTCTTTTCTACTCACTGAATCATATTATTAAGTGGCATGGCTACCTGCATGGCTCCCTTATGTCTTCTTTGACCCTGTAACAGTGAGAAAATCGATCACTAGGAGTTGCTAATGCTAATGCTTCTTAAATTCACAAAATATCATTTGCATCAAGACACAGGTATGAGATTGCAAAAGCAGTCAAGAACTAAGTACGAACTGCAGATCTTTCTAACAGAAAAATCAATTCAACCCACTACAAGATCAATTGACTGGAAAGGTGGCACGACTTTTAATTACCTTAAGCCTCAGATATGAACCTCCCAAATCCATGCACAAATTAAAGATGGATGTCTTACAAAACCATCTTCTTTCACTTCAATATTATCAGTGACCCCTATGGTCAATTACATGCTTCTCATATCCAAAACTGGCAAACGAAATACAACCGTGTGAAGTATATTCCATCTAAATATATATGGCTATACAATACAGAGCTCCTCAAATACAACAAGAAAGTATAGTACCTGAAATTCAGGATTACAGATTCTGGTGGACGCAGGTACCTAGATTCAGACTAAATCAGGTAAACGTCCAGGGCTTTGATCCAAAAATAGAGAGCAATAAGAAAAGAAAGCAAATTCATCCTGAATTAAATCAGATACTTAGTCAAAACAATCATATAATGCAAATGAAAATATAACATCCATTAATAGAAGAATGGAGGACACACGTTACATATCAGTCATCAAAACAATTAACAATGAAACCAGTTAAGCCATTCTTCCCATCTATGCTCCATAACAAAACCAGGCTTTGAAGGTCCAGGCCATAGCATCATCTTGCATGTTTGTTTGATCTTGTAGTCATCTTATGGAAAGCGTACCATATCCATATGATCTACCAGATTTCCTGACAAAGAGCTCAAGGTGTCGACAGATTCAAAACTTGATGCTTTCACATCACTAGGTCTGTATTCTCTCAAATCCACAGCTGAAAACACAGTCTGAACTTAGCAAAAGAAAAACAAAATTTTTAGCTATTATATAACTAAAAAGTGCTTATGTATCAAAAAGAATTTAATCAAAACCATGAGCATAAAAACAACTTCTGAAGAATGTAAAGTTTCTATACCATTTACTTAGCTGAAGAAACTCGGTGTAATGATGGCATCCAGCTGCTTGAAGGGCCATTCCGGTTCCCAAGTACCCGATCAACATTTGCAACTTCAGCTAGCCCATCTGGTTTTCGAGAATTCTTTTTTAAGGCAGATGAATAAGCGAATGAAGTAGATGACATTGTTGCATTATTCCCCGTCTGCAACAATCATATTCACATTTAAATTGACTAGATTTAGTTCAAAGGTGTGGCAGACAAAATTAAAGTAACAGGCTAAGACAAGGAAGATGATGCTTTAGCATAGAGAAAGTATGTTGCATCAAGTGCAACATGTTCCATTTTCTAGATCTACGCTGGCAGAATATAAGCATTAATCAGAAAATTGAACATGATAAAAACAATTCATAATAACATAGAAAACTCACATGTTGCTTGGTCAAATTCTGAGTAGCAGGTGTTCTGAACTTCATACGAACATCTGGATGAGCACCATTGCTAGACCCTCTATGTTCCGTATTTAAAGCTGAACATGTAGTATCATTGATTTCTGAAATTCAAAAATAAGGTGAAGATGCTCCCAGCAAAATCACTTCGTATATACAAACAACAGGACCACCAGACAATTGAAAACGAGAGCTAACCTTTGAGCTTATCCTTAGGCATTGCTTGACTGTTACTTCCTCCAGTAAAAGGCTGCAAATCCTAAAAACAGATGAGAAGGGAATATAATCATCCTAGAGTAACAAGATTGAACAAAAAAGGAGGAAAAAAAAAAAGACGGATGCATGTATAAAGTATGTCCAACTTAAAAAATATAAACTTAATAGAAAAAACTAAGGCAGCATAAAATATGACAATAATAAAATAAAAGGTCACAAAATACTAACAGATGACTGTGCACTTGTCTTTGTCTTTTGTGCCTGCTGGTACTTGAGTATGGTCCAGTCATATATGTAATCAAATACATAACCTGCCAAATAAGGTAATAATGTGAAAAAAAAAAATTTAAAGAAATGTTGAAAATTATCAAAGAGGAAATATGCAATCATGAATAGTTTTCTTGAAATCTAGAACAACTAAATATTATTGAATCATCAACTAAACCTAGTATACACATAACATAGCTTCCTCTTTTCTCACTTGTCTTTAAGATAAAATAGAAGTGAAAAAATAGAAAATAAAAATAAAAATTTGGTGAATGTAATAGTCAATTACCTTCTCGAGTAAATAAATCACAAAACAGGCGCTTCAAGAATCCATAATCTGGCCTCTGATCAAATGTCAAAGAGTGGCAATAATGGAAGTAGGATGCAAACTCCACAGGATGTGATTTGCAAAGGACCTTTTTCAAAAGAAATATAATGAATATGCAAACCCCAAAACCTCATAGCTGTCTATATATTCTTTTTTTTCTTTTGTGTGTGTGCAATCTATTATCAGTAGAATTATGAAAAAACACAGACAGTATACCTCAATAGGGGTTGATAGCTTCTTCTCACATATTTTATCATACTTCTGCTTCTTTGTAGCAGCTTTTAGACCCTGCCAAGGAAGGCTAAATGCAGAATTTAATCAGCCCATCAGTCTCGTCTTGTTAGGTTCATATCATCAGGTCAAAACTCAAATATACCAATGCTTAACGTTATCGTCAAAAGGCAAAAAGAAAAATGTTACAGATTCGTGCAAAACCATTGCGCAGAGAAAACCAACTATAATCTCCTTGGACTGTAATTAATAAAGCAGAATCAAATAGATCAAACTATCAAAGCAAAATTCTAGGGCATACCTTCCTCTCAAGAAATACAAGAGAACATAGCCAAGTGACTCTAAATCATCCCGACAGCTTTGCTCTAAGGAGATTAAAGAAAAACAGGTCAGTAAAACATCAAAGCTCTATAGAAAATACCAATAAAAATTTCTCTACTGAGTACATACCAATTCCAAGATGAGTATTGCAACTCGCATAACGAGCAGTCCCAGTTAAGTTTTTGTTTTCCCTGTATGAGTTTATTGAGGAAAAAATACTGAGAAGTGTACTTAAAAAGTAGGATGAGAACTTCGGAATGCAAATATCACATATGGACAACCACAATAAATTTAACCCTCAAAGATTGCAGAGCAATGAAAGAGCAGAAATCTAAAAGCAAAAGACAATTAGCGAGGACTAGATAGTTGAAGAAATACCTATAAGGAATATGGCAGTTTGTAGTGGGATCACGGTATCTTTTGGCAAGTCCAAAATCAATAACATAGACCTAATGGTGCAAGAAATGTTGAAATAAGTAAAGGAACTGTGATAGAGGCATTATCTGCACAACTTAGATTTACTTCTTACCAGATTTGCTTTCCTGCCAAGCCCCATGAGGAAGTTATCTGGTTTGATGTCCCTATGCAAGAACCCTCTTGAATGTAAATATTCTATTCGTGAAAGCTGCAACTCAATGAATGGGGAGGAGTAAAATCTTTAAAACAATCATTAAAAATACACCAATGATTATAAAATTTATAATTTGTAAAATGAAATAGCGACAGTCAGATGTGAATTCTTGATCTGGTTGCAAAATTATACAGGAGAGATATGGTGACAAATGAAATTACTTTATGATAACGATTCCCCCCCAAAAAAGGAAATAATAGTTAGACCAACCCATCCCCTGTGGACTGTGATTATCCTTTATTTATTGCAACATAGAATCCGTCATGAACAGAACATTCTAATGGTTGGTGGGAACAACAATAATAACCAGTGAACTTGATAAGGATTATTTCTTACCATTTGATCAGCCAACATTAGGACTGTTTTCAACGAAAACTTCCTCCCACAGTAGACAAACAAATCTTCCAGACTTGGTCCCAGCAAGTCAAGGATGAGGACATTGTCCTTCCCATCTACACCACACCATTTTATGTTGGCAATACCACCTGAAGCAGGATACAGAGGTGATGAAGCAGTAATAGCATTAATATGACTGAAGGAGAAAAATAAATAAAACTATCAGAGGACTTATACTTACTTTCTCCTTGAAGAATATTATACAGCTTAGCTTCGTAGAGTAATTGAGGATGTTTTGTCTGCCTGTTTTCCTACCACCAAATAAATAAACAACTTCATAAAGAAACCTTAGCAGTGAGCGATTTCCTGCTCTAAAAACAGAAGTCTTGCATGTAAGGAAGAAAGCAATAAACTAGAAATTCAAGTTGAATTTCATGCCAATTTTCAATTTATAAACACAATTATATATTATCCACAGTCAATCGTTCCAGCAAGGATTAAAACTAAATAGCAAAAATGTAAATTAAAAAGAGATGGAAACGCCAAATTATAAATTCACTCGTTCCTACAGCTTGACATTATACTTCTTCTTAAACCATCCAGAACCAGAAGCATAAACATCAGATACACTTCACTAACACTAAAAATTGAAAGATTAAATCCAAAAAAAAACTTTGGTAAAAACTTACAATCTTCACTGCGACAATTTCACCGGTGTCGATATGAGTAGCTGAAACAAACAGTAAACAACATGAAGCAAAACACAGATTTAGAATTCAAATACACATAGAACTGATGCTGAACGAAAACTTTACCAAGGTAGATTTCACCAAACGATCCGCTTCCGATTTTACGACCTAACTTGTACTTCTCTCGGACGATCCTCTCCATATCGGGATCAATCTGCATAGAACTGATTGATTTTGAAGGAGTTTCGGGAAAAGGGAGAGAATTAGGGCCAGCTATTGAACTAAGAGGAAAGCTTACGAAGATCGAGGCTAGAGCTCAAAAGCGAGTGCGTTTAGGCGTTTACCGGAGAGTTGGAAGCTGGAAATGGAAGCAGACGAGTGGATTGGACGGAGACGACGAGACGGAAGAAAGAAGATCGACTCAGAGAATTGGAGGGAGACGAGATCACCACCGACTTTAGAACAACGCAGTCTTTGAAAATCTAGATAATAAATACTGGTGGAATGAAAATTTTAGAAAATCTGGAAAAGACGTGAGAAAAATGCTTAAATCTATTACTCCTACTGTAAAATATACTAAATTTACAACTTTAAAAATGGAAATATAAATTTACATATCAGGAGATTAATTAATGAAGGAGAATTTTAACATGTGTCTTTTAGGACATATATTGAAAATATAATTGTTTTTTTTATTATTACTTTATATAAAAAAATAATTTAAAATTTATAAATTATTTAATTAAATTAATTCTAATGATATTAATATTAAAAATAAAATTTATTTTTATAATTTATATATATTAATAATAATAAATGATAATAAATATGTTTTTAACTTGTATACTTAAAAAAACTCATTAATGAATGACAAATGTATAAATTTTTTGCCCAATAAGAGTTAAAAAGACGTATTTTTTTTTAAGTATAATTTTGAGATAAGGAGATGAGAAATAGCATAGTATTATTATGTTTAAAACTCTAATTATTACAAAATCATTAAATGCACTTAACAATTAATTTATGAAGTATGGTGCAAAAAGATGTACCATTTATTATTGTTTGGCACTCAAATTAAAATGTGAAATTATTATCATGTTTAAATTGTTAATATAACACAATTTTTAACCTGTTTTGATTATCTTACACATTTCTATAGTACATTATAAATTAATTAAATTATTTTTTAACAAATAACAAAATCATGAATGGCATTTGTTTCTAATCGTGATCTTCAATTCAATTCCTTATTATTTTTCAATTTTTTAAATTTTAAATGACTAAACAATAAAAAAATCCTAATGTTTCAAGTTTTATTTAGTGTAATTATAGTTTTAAATTTTAAATTTTATAACTCTAAATGACTTTTTTTAACTTTTATGTACTTTACAACTCATTATTATAATTATTAAAAAATAAAAATAAAAATAATTTTAATATTATTAAATTATTAGTGTTAAAATTTATTTTAAACAAATATTTAATTTTTAAATTTAATTTTTAATAACTATAAAATTTTTAAAAAAACAAAACAAAAACCAAAAAATAGCATCACACTTAAAGAAACCTTGGATCGCTAAAAACAGTTAAGTTGATGTGGAGAAAAAGAGACACATTAGGAGGGGCAAAACAGGATAAAAAGTTGTGGTTTTGGATGTACCAATAACCACCCTCCAAATACAGTTGATCTTTCTATCCAAGGATTATTAGTCAGTTTGTAAAGGTGCATCCTCCAATTCAAGGATCATAATTCAAATCCCCCACCCCCCACTTATAAACTCATTTAAACAAAAAAAAAAAAAAAAAAAAACACTCCAAATTAAATGTATTTTCTTTTTTTTTTTCATTTTAAATTGCATTAGTTTTTATTTTATTTTATTTTAATGCAAAACGTATATATAGTTAAAGTGACAGTACTTAATTCTGTCTCCATCTCAAACAAAGAATCTATTTACATCAACTATTCAAGTGCATAAGGCATGACTAATAATAGTTGTCACTTTTAATCTAAAAATTATGGCGAATCATGCAAAATAGGTTACCAACAAATTCAAACAAAGTTAAGTGCGCCTTTTAATTTGAAAGGTCCATAAAATTTTGTCTCATTTTAACTATAGTTAAAAAGCTCATAATAAACCCCCTAATCTATTATCAACCATGTACTTTAGTAATAAAGTTACCTATATACTCTTAACCACGATTTAAGGTTTAATATTTAATCTTTACTATAAAACAAAGAAAAAAACCTAATCTACAATGAAAAAAGTATTGTATAATTTGAATTATATTGAATTACACAATTCTAACCATTAGATAAAAGTGACCCCCAATCTAATGAATCTTGTTCTACAATCCAAACGATAAAACAAGACACCTATATGAAATATCTTCTATTTTTGCACAATGCTTGTGTTTACACCTAAAATTAAAATCAATAGAACAAAGTAACGTGTCAGGTTTAGGTCCAATCTATAAAAAGAGTTAACAAGCTACAATGGGCTAGGCTACCTTAGAATTTAGGAGCCCAAATGAAAATTTAAAGGGGTTGGATTGAAGTGGCAGAGAATAAAGTGGTTTTGGTGTTTGAATCTGATTCAAATTAAGAAGTTGAGGGTTTTTAGAAAGGGATTATTCATAGAGTTTATTAGAGTTAAAATTGAAACAAAATTGTCAGCTACTAGACAACTGCCTAGATGTGGAGTCCCCACTGCTCGATCATGATAGGAGAGGGTCGAAAAGCATGGAGTAGATTTCCCAACACCAAAGAAAAGGAAAACAAGAGGAGAAAAATGAGAACAAACGACTTGCCCTACAGAAACTGCCCAGCACATATGTTTTTTCAACTTTTAGTCTGTTTCTTCCAAATTTCAACATAATTTCCAGATTAGAATACAAGATCTATTCCTGTCCATAGCTTTAGTTTAGGTTTTTTTCCATCCTTATTCATATTTTCTTTCAAAGATTCAGCCTTAAAATGGGTCTACCTTGTTAATTTGGTTAGTTTTTTTTTTCTTCTCTTATAGATTCATATCTGTTATTTGTTTATGTAAATAAGTTGAATGCTTTCTGTGTTTTTTTCTTTGTTTCTACACAACTACTAGACTTGCAGCTTGCTTAATTTCAATTTCTAGATTAAAGTTTGATTTTACAAGTTTCCAAACTTTGAGTATTTTGTAAGTTCTATTTCAAACTTAGCAATCAAATAGTTCAATTATTTTTATTTTAAATATGCAAGTAATTAGTTTAATTGCTATGAACTAAATAGTTAAAATCATTATCTATGATTTTACACAATCTCTTCTTTGCGAGTTTAATTTTGTGATATGATATTTTTTTTTAATTAATTTCGTGTTAGGTTAATTACCTTAGATATTGCGTTTAATTTAGGATTTATAACTTTTATTACACCTTAGTGAGTGAAAAACGTCATCTGAAGCACAATTTATTTTATAAACGTTCTTTCCAACCATCCTTTTAGGTTGACAACCGTTCGAAAGGGAAAGGATCATATGGAAAATCCTGCTTTCTTATTTTCAGACAAAACAAATAGCATGCCTTATTTCTAAGCTCATGTGGTTAAGGCCAATAAAGGATTTTTGGGGAAAAAACTTGTATCATCAGTGAGGGTAGATTTGACACGAAGAAATTATGATTGCCAAGTGCCAGAAATAATTGGGGCCATTTGAAGTAGACATCACTTACAATCTTATCAGCAATTAGCATGTATGTTCCAGATATCCAGCTATGAAAAGAATTAAATCCTTTCCAAATAATTATTTTTACCCTTTGGCTGAGGAACAATCAGACTCTTCCAATGTAATCCAGCCAATAGGCCATGCTTCTCCCATCAAGTTAAGAAATATATGTTTTTCCCCATGAAAAAAAATGTAATGTATAGTTGGTTATAAACCGGGTGGTCTGAGTAATGGAACCGCACCCAGTATACCATCCACATCAACAGGAACTTGAAGAGCACGTTTAATAGGCTCCGGCATCACAGTTGAGCCTTTCCAAGTATTGAACCACGGTCCCCCTCCAACCTCTACTGCTGCCATGTCGCTTGTAACATCCAGGATTACCTGCATATTTGAAGAGAGTATAAATTTCTAGAACATTTCAAGATTGACACATGAATGAGAAGCACCAGCCCATTGAGTAATAACTAGATGGTTTGTGTAGCAAGAATTAGAAATTGATTGATGCTGCCTAGCCCTCAATCAAAGATGAAATGCGTTCATAGATGCGAGACATGATATACCTTCCCCTTACTGCCATCAGATCTTCGTTCCCACATTTGCAATCTCAGGTCACTAAAACAAGTATCTTTGCAAGCTGGAGCAAAGCCTGCTTCTGATGTTGGAGCACGCAGTGTCGTCCCTGGATGCTCAGTTGTAGCCTCTAACTCAACCTGGCCAGAATCAATAAAGGACACTGTTAAATATTTTTAGGCTTTGTTAATTTCTCAAACCATCTTAAATACCCTTGCTTTTGATGTATTAGACCTGCAACTTGATCGAGACTGTGGGCAACTTCAAAGATTTTAATCTAAAATTGAGATTTCTGACAGGAAAAAGCAACTAAGCACGTATGAGGGAAAAATGAACTAGTGATGAATTTACCATATGCGTCTCATTCTCTCCAGCCATGTACCAGTAACCCCAGGGAGTAATTTCCCAATTTACAACACCATTCCATGGCACGAATTCATAGAAAAACCCATTATAGTGCACTCCAATCTGCAGCAGCATACATCATCATACATAAAACCAGAGCTAATGCTGTCAATAATTTACCATCAGACAATCCCATTTTTCCTTCATAAACTTTCAATGGATATCAATTACCGCAAAATGCAACAGCAAGTGAATCAATAAGACAAGAAAAACTAGGGTTTTGACATAGTATCATGTTCAAATTCCTGTTAGTATTGTGCAATGAAGCTTGCCAACTTAGCTCATTGGAATCAAGTTCTGCTAAAGAGATCATCTGGCTTGTTTTCTCAAAATGAAAAAAAAAGAAAAAAATTCTGGTAAACAGGTGCATTGATTAGATGTTCCCACTTTCTCCAGCATTACCAAATCTTTTTGATGTCTTATTTTCCTTCAACAAAATTTTAGTTGTACCAAGGAAACAATTTTGAACTGCATCGAAACAAGCAAAAAATGATATAAAAGTTTCCAAAGTACCAATGCAGCATTCTCGAAGGTTTCAGTCAATCCAGGTAGTTGCCTCAACCCACCAGCTGCAGTCAAAGCAACTTCTCCAATAGCACCATTAAAGACATTGCTTTGTACCTGTACCAAGACAATGATTAGTTGAAGGCGCAGACCAAACAAAGATAGAGAACAATTGCCTACATGAGATTACTGTGGTGTTACCAAAACCAATTGAGCTTGATTTCAGGGGAAAAAACCAAACACAACATAGATGTAACAGGAGAAGATTTGTACTATCGATTAAAACATTGGAAAATGTTGAGTGGCAGCCACCTCCATTTCCAAAGTGGAGCCAATGTGCCTTCCTTGACCATTGTATTTAGTCAAATTTGGCAGCATGAAGCATTTTAGCAGCTAATATGTTGAATTCAAAGATGGAAAACAAATTCCCTGACCCAGAGATTTTAAAAGAGAGCCTTTGTATATTTGGAAGAGTTAATACCATTGGACAGTTCTCTTTCAATTTCTCCTCTCAGTTGCAAGCTCAGAAGGTTAAAGCATATGCCAAACAAACAATGTAATCAAATTCTTCACTAAAAATTAGCAGACAGATGTGAACGAAGAAGTGAACATTTACCCAAAACCATTTTCTAGGAAAAGCTCCACCCCAATTCTTTTCTGAATATGAAGGGGCATCTTGAAACTCAAACCTTTCACCATCCCACTCTATCCAGCCTGCAATCAATGGTTAAAGCCTTAGCAATGTTCTCCACTAAACATGCATGTTTCTCAAGTGGAGAAATATCATTGTTGAAGATTATACTCAACCGAGGTCAGTCAGTATACAGCAAGAAAGAAGAATAAAATAAAAGGAAAAGGAATTGTGGTAGATGCAACCAATTGAATCATTTCCCCTGCATGTAAGTTTTGTAGCAGTAGACTACAACCAGTCTTCTTGTCAGTTGCAAGAATCGGTATAACATGTCACACATTGTACTTAGTTTCATTCAATAAGAATGCTACTACCTACAGATTTGTAACCCAATGACTTAGCTGCCAGTAGCCCCAATAATAACTCCAATAACCATAAGGAAAGTAATTTCATAGCTCAACTTATTGCTAAGGCCAATGAATACAAAAGCCCCCTACTGCAATATATAACACTCCACTTGATCTTTTGATGGAGATCATGCAAGAAATGTTATACAATCTGATTAGGTAAGTGAAGCCCTATCTCTACTGTTATAACTGCATGTCTTTTTGTTACCAAACAGAAAACATTAAAGAACCACTGCACATGGCACACCAGATTAGTGGAAGCTTGGTATCTGCTATGATACCTTAAAGGCATTAAGCTCTTCAGGCTTGCTGTCATTCTTAAAGAATTAAAACTTCTAGTATTCACTTCTTCACTCTATTTGATCAATGGAATATAAAGGAAGATGGAATATAAAGGAAGATGACCCATCTTCTTTATACTTTTAGCAGTTGCTTCAATAGCTGCACAGACACGAGTCTGCTTATTGGTTCAAGGGTAAACATGAATTGATGATAAATATTGTAATCAATAGTAACTTGAAATCACGAGGCCTTACTATCATATTCAGTGTAATGTTAAATAACAAAGAAAACTTAGGATGGAGGAGAATATCAAGTGCCTGTTGAAAGTCCGCCTGCCATGCAGACTTGCCAATGGGGTTCAAACACAGGAAAAGCAGCAAGCCAGCCTGCTGTGGACTTCTGATTGGACCCAACATTGCCCCATCCATAGACAGGACGGGTGCTATACTCCCAGCGTGCTGTCTTCACCTTTTCTGTGTAAGTTGTCCTACAATTAGAAGCTAAATATTGTCAAAATACAACAGGACAGAAAATCCAGAACAGAAAGCATGAGATTTTGCTTAGTATGTATTGTTATTTAACCCAAGAACTTGAAATATTTACCATGCAATATATAAAGCAAAAGAGGTGGCAATGTAATCTGATACCATGGATTCAGTGAACAATAAGAAAATTTGTAAAATCTATAGAAGAATACTTCTAAAAGAGACTATATGCATAAAGTGATACTTTCTATTCACTTTTATATATTCAACATTTAAAAAAGTAGTTTTGAGGAAAAAAAGTGGTAGATCTTGTTACCACCCTCACAAAAGAGCCACTCCTACCTTTGCTGATAATTCAAAAGCCTTCACATGAAAATATTATAATAATAATAGTGAATAAGATTGCAGTAACAACTAATGGAATGCTTGCTAACTAACATAGGTTACAAGTGTGAGAATACACCCAAAACCATGCCCTAAGTAAATATCTGAGAAGCAAGCACCTGCCATCATCACGCATGAAGCCTTGATGCCAAAGAGGGGTGACTTGAAAACCTTCCAGAACTCTGCTGTCAAATTCCTACATAAAGCAAACACATAAATATGAAAGGATAAAAAATGACAGAGCAACAGACCAGCAACATCCTTCTCATCCATAGCAGCAGAAGTTCTTGCTCTGTATTTTCATAATAATGCCAGACGACAGAAATTAAGGAGAAAAAACAATGGAGATCTTAGATATTAACAGAAAAAATAACAGTCAATAAGAGGAAACAATCCGAAAAGGCAAGTACTTACCTGAGGAGGAACCTCCTTTCTTGGTGGCTGCATGCCTTTCTTGGCTACAAAAGTATTCCCTAATGCTAGTTCATGCCTACCTATACATTAAAAACCAGTAATTAGTCACCAAAGACATTTGTGATATAAAATTGCCCATGTATTTGTGATTAAGTCAACAAGGTCTAAATCCCACAAAAACCGTAAGCTAGACCCTAGAGAACATTGACAATTAATGGTCATGTACTGTCATAGTGTCACGAGTAAATGAAACCAAGAGTGGATTACATCAATAACAGGCAAGACAATGCTTTGGCTGTTGAAATCCGAATCTCATTTAAAAGTATATATAAGGGCATTAGCTTAAGAGATTTAAGGGTTGGATAAATTTATTTCTGAACCTGAATTGAGATCTCATGCAGCCAGAGAGGGGGAAGATAGATATTATATTCAATAATGATTGTAAAAACTTACTTCCCCAAAAGTACTGAGATTCCTCAGAACATTGGCCTATGTACTTGTCATCAGATCCAAGGATTTGAGTCCCAACTCCAGTAAATCTAGTTCCATACTGAGCCACTTCCAAAGAAGTCAATTTTCTTTTGAATGCAGGATTCTCTATGGCATACATGAAGCAAAAGCTCTGCTTCCGTTCTGGAATTGAGACCTTAAAGTACCAACCCTCAAAAAATTTTCGAGTAGTTCCATCAAAATGATACCTGATTCAGGCATTTTGAACAAATTACAGGACCTCAAGCAATAAAAAACTGTTAACAGAACATAAACGGGGGACAACAACAAAAGCTGTCTTTCATCATAAATTATGCAACCCACACCATCAATCCAATGCACGGTTTCCTGGAGAAATAAATTGCAAATTCATATAGAACAAAATCTCGTAAAGGGTAGCCTGCAAACCAAACTCTAAAATAAACAGCTATGTTTATCTCAAAGAAATTGGATTAAAAAACAAGCATAAATCTCACATTCCCCAGACAATAAAGATGTTAGAGGCTAGGTATACAATTAGAGATCCAGAAACCTCAAATTTTCAAAAAGCAGAGGGTAATTCAATTGAAACTAAAACCCAAATTACCCGCTGTGAGGAGTTCGAAGTTCCCGATTCCGCGGCGTGGGCACGTACACGGGGTCGACAGAAACCGCACTCTCCGCAGTCAAGGAACTGAAAGAGTCACTCTTGGTAGCCGAGCTAGAGGCGAAAACCGGCGACCGTAGGTTGAGAAACACTCTTCGAGTACTGGGTTTAGGATTAGTTAAATGATTCAGAGGTCGAAACCCCAGGTTTTTGGAGAAATGGTGAAGCTCGTTGAGCGAGCAAATGCTTAGCTCCATGGAAACCGACGCAGTTGAAAATTCCCGTAGACAGGGAAATAAACCAAGAATGCGTATGCATCATCATAAATGAGTATATTTATTGGTGCTTGGGAAGAGCACGCAACAATAAGGGAAGCGGCCGCTGTTATGGTTAGAAATTCACAGGTGAACGAGAGGTGGGGAGCCAACGGCGAAAGACGACAAATTCCACGTCTATATCCATATGGTTGTGAAGCAAAAGACACTCACGTCGACAGCAGGATTCGAACCTGCGCAGGCAGAGCCCAACAGATTTCGAGTCTGTCTCCTTAACCACTCGGACATATCGACCATTACTCCACTCTACCCTTTATTAAATTTAAATAAATCGAGGGACATGGAGTGTTACCGCATTCTTAATACACAAGATGACAATGGGAAAGACGATTCAATCCAAAAAAGATGATGAGTGTAACATAATAATGAACTAAAATGATAAGGAGTAACAGGTAATTAGAATCATCAAAATTGCTTTCGGTTTTACAAAAGAATGGCTTAATCAAAATCACATATAGTTTGTCACATGAAGATTGGTTTTTGGCTTTTGACCTTCGGTTCCCGACTAGTCCAGAGTAAAGCATGGACATGCAGAAATAGAGAACTCAAAAGTCTGTACAAAGATGATGCTTATCCTTAGTCTGCAAATACTCTAGGGGCCTCAACAATGAGGCAAGAATAGCAACCAGCCATATGCTTGCGCACTTGAAGCAGGAATTGGACTGGAGACATCTATTCACTCACTGTTGGTGATTCTTGGCCAGCTTTCCTGAAAGATAAATAAAAAATAAGATACAGAAGAAAGTAAATTATACTACTTAGTTTATGTAATGAGCATGTTTGGCCATGGCACACACACATATCTCATTCTATGATTCTAGTTTCTAATGTACATAGCTACACTTAATACAGATTAGATCTTGACTAAGTAATTTCGAAGTGAGGAGGCAAGCTAAAGGCTGCTTTAGCATTACCATTTAGGTGACCTGGAGACAGGAACCATTTGCTGTATTTTTCTCACATACTCTGCTCAGCGTTGGAAAATAACTGAACTTAAACAAGTCAAGACATGACTTGGAAACTTGGAACATTAATTTCCAAGTAGCATCTCAACTACAGTACCCAAGGCAAAACTCTTAAGAAAAAAGAAAGCATTGACTGCTGAAAAGAAAATAAAACTTACTCATTTAGTCCAGATTGACTCTTCCAATGTCCAAAACTTCATGCAAGTGGTGCCATAATATCTAAATTATTCTTCATGAACCATTTTTCAGGGTAGAAGGAATTAGATGATGCAACAGCAAGATGCCAAACCATGATTCTTGAGCAGTCCTGCAGTAAGCCTTCCATTTGGTTTTCATCTTCCACAACTTGTTCAACAAATGTGCTTGCCTGCGAAATTAATCAAATGTATGTAAATCAAAATTGAAGTGAAAACCATCCTTGGCAAATTGTCAAGAGGCATCTAAATGGGTGGATCACGTTTAGCATGGGGTTCTATTTATTAATTACAGAAGGGATTAATCACCAATCATGTCTTTGCTGTGCTGTGGACAAAGTCTAGTCCCTTCACATATCAAATTATAGAGAATATTCTTTGGAGTTGCCAAAGACATCTTTTCATTGTATATTTCCCTTCCTGTTAGAGAAAAAGTTTCCTGTGGCATTTCAAGTGGAGCCTGGATGATTACACTGAGATAAAAGAATGATCAAAGAACCAATAGGTACTAACTTGGAAGCTGTACTTGACTGCATCAAGCTGCCTAATTGGTTCAGGAGTTGGTCTGTGCCAACGCTTTGGATCCCAGAGTATGGTACTGTTGAAGGCAAACCCCGACATTTCAGCATGGAATCTTCGTAATCTCACATTTAATAAATCTGTGTGCCATCCAATGACTTGAGTTCTGTTACAGACAGGGCCCTCCAACATGGGTTTTCTTCCATTCCCTGTTTGTTTGGCCACTGTCCATGTACCAAATCGCCTGCAAATAATATCCACAGAGAAAGAAACAGCTATAATAAGTCATCTATAGAAGCACAAATCTGTGCTATAGTTATTATGAAACAAAGAAATTACGAAGTGCAATGTGCAAAGAATGGGAAGATAGTCTTAGAGGTCACAAGTTTAAACATTGAGCTGTGCTAGGCAAAATTGGGGGAACCTGGAGCCTAAACACAGACGTAGCAAAAATAGAATGGAAAGCTTGAAAAGCAAGAACAAGTCAAGTTGCATAAGTGTAGGCATTCTGCTGCAGTAATTAAGAAAGTGGGATGGAAGGAACCTGGTCCCTATACAGAAATAATGAAGAAAATAAAAATTTTAAACCCACCAGTAGCAACTATTTCATATATTAGATATTAATCAATCTAGCATCACAATTTTTTTTTTTTTAAAGAAAAGCCACAAATTTACAAAAAATACAGTCATTTAAAAGAGAGGTGCAGGAAGCATTTTAAAAACTTAAAAGGAGCAGAACCATGATTAAATAGGTTGATATTATGATAAAAGGACATACCTAATCTGCCTCATTTGCTCAAAGAGAACCCTTGAGTAGACATTTTCTTCATCAGCAAAGTAGACAATACCATCAAGACGGTGGGTTTCAATGTGAGACAGTGCTGCATTTCTTTGGTGAACATTTCTATCTTTTATGTCAGTGACATTTTTCTTGCAAACAAGATGCCTATATGTTACTCCTGTTCTTCTAAGGATGTCAGCAGTTTCCTCAGATTGGGAAGTCATCTCCACAACGATCCACAATAGAGGGGGTTGGACCAGTTTTAACGTGTATGCCAAACGATTTAGATAATAGGCTTGAAAAGGTTGAGCATACGTTGGGGTCACAATTATCAAAAGCTTGTGAAACTCCACCTCCATATCTTGAAGAAGTGACTGATTAGCAGGAGCATAATTGGAACTCCCAGCCATAGATTCCTGTTCATGCAATGCCTCCTTTGATGTGACACTGTTTAGTGTAACATTTTCCATTACGGATGCCACTTTTGTTGCTGAATTGTCATATGTTTGAAAATTCCCAACATTTGATGCCACCTCAAAGGAGAAAGCATGATGCTTTGGCATGAGATCCACTGAATGATTCATGGAAACAAATGGTGCTAGCCCTATGAAAAACCCAACAATGAAACAAATGAAGAAGTGGAAAAGAGCCCTTCTCCATACTTGACCCTTTGGTTTCGATCTTTCAATCGGTCTAGATGTTCTAGGTGAGAGAACACCAAGAACTAAATCTTGAGAATCTGATAAACGGAAAACAGAAGATAGCAATCCACCTGATGGCGGGTAGTTCTGAGCACATGATGAGGACTTTGACAAAGGAGAAGCAGCTGAACATACCTCACCAGGGACCACCGTGCCCTGTCTAGGTACTGGGGACAATGTCCTTCTCATTGATGCCATGACAGAAATCTAATTCCTCTTCCTATTCAATATCAGAATTAGCATCAAAAGGAAACTAAACAGATTAAAACCACATTCTCTTCACCACCACAAATCTAAATCCTGAGCTTCCAAGCATCATGGTACTGCCCTTCTTCAATTCTTTAACAAAGCTTTATCACATCAATGCCATGACTCATGCACGTATCAATCAAGGACCAGAGAAAACACCAAGCAATAACCAAAGCTACATATATTGATCTCCAAACCCAATTCAGAAGCAAATTCCTTTTGCAATCTCACCACCTGCCTCTAAATCCACCAAACTAAAGTACAGTGCTTGATCTATATATAATGAACCTTCCAAACAACCAACAACCACAGAAGATAACCAAACAACAAAACTTGAAATTTACCAGAATCCGATTTAGAAGGCAGCAGAATTACCAGTCTCTCCCAGATTCCAGAAGAAAATGCTTCCAACTCTTGCTCAAATGGAGTGGGCAACAGAATTGCCCTTCCACTGCAAAAGGGTATTCGATCTTTCACCAGCAACGACACTGAAAAGCAAGACACAGAGGCAATCTTCTGTCTTTCTCGACGCTTTGGAAGAAAGCACCGACCTTTCAGATCTTCGACACCAACTGTTGACGCTCCCGGCACCGGGTCAAAATGGGGATCAAAATGTGAGGTTAAAAAAGGATACCACCAAATCTTCAAGTGCTGGAGAACCTGCAAAAATGCCGAAAAAGCAGATAGAGAAAGTGATATTTAAACTCCCAGCGCAGCGCATACTCGCCCCCCTTCACAAAGATTCAGATACAAGAAAAAAAAATATCGGAGTGTATATTTGTTAAATCTGTGGATTTGGATTTTATTACGGACCGATAGTTGGACGGACTATAAATGAAACGAAAAAAAGATTGACACGTGTAAGCAGGTGATGGTGAGGTCCACACGTGCCCACCAATTTAAATTTCTTTAAGTACGAGAATAATTTTTTTTTATAATTTTTATATACAATAAAAATATAAGATTAACTATTAAAAAACATATATAATATTATGAAGCTGACTTTCTAGGTCAAGTGGGCTCTAACCACGTTTGTAAGTTACATGTCCCCTCTCTCAGGATAATGATTTTGAGCTAACCCCATGACAAAATGTTAAAAAAAAAACATATATAATATTATAAACCTTAATAAAATCAAGAGAATCTCATAATTGTAAAAAAGAATTCTATTCCTCATTGATTACGGCAGCCTTAATTTCGTCAATTTTTCTTAATACGGCTATTTGTTGGAGAATTATAAAAAAGGAAAGGATTTAAACCTAAATTTAGTGCGAAGTTTAATATAGAGGCCAATCACTTGCTTTACCCAGGATTCTCCTTAATTTCGCCACATTTGAAGATAGTTAATAAACGGGGGAGTACAATTTCCAATTATGGGAGATGAATTAAATGTTAGTAACAACGGAATATAGTGCATAACTATGAAATGTATATAAAAAAAGAACTATGAAATGATTTTTTGGTCGTAAATCTTATAATATAATATGTTGTAATTATTTTTATTAAAATATTTAAATTTAAAGTATATAAATAATTTAGCATGTAATTACTTGCATTTGATGTAATATAAATATTATAAATTTAATAATTAATATTTATTATAAAAAAATTACAACAACAAAAAGATTAGGAGTCCTTTCACCAAAATTACTTATTTTTTAAAGTAATCTTTGAAAAAGATTTTGAAAAATAAAAAAAGGTCTTTCCCCCTAGGTTATATTTAGGGAACTTATAATTTTTTTAAGGAGTAATGACTAATTGGACAATTAATAAAGTTAAAAGCCCTTTTTAATTTTTTTATGCTACTAAAATGCACAACTTTAAAGAAAACTTTTATTTTATAATCAATTACACATATTATTTATCAACTAATATCAATTTTAATCAAGATGTTTTATTAAAAGAGCACAAAAAATGTTTTTAAGAGTAAATATTGATTAACTGTGTATGTTAGAATGGTTTTTTAATCCCAAATATTTTACACATGTTTTTAAATTTAATGCTCCTTTCTTGTCCAAATTCTCTTTTCCTGTCCAAAGCAAAATTTTGTAAGGTAACAAGGAATCGGTAATTATTGGGACTAAATTGAATCAGAAAAAACATTGAGGCCTATATCTAAATTTATCCAAAAAAAAATACCAAGTGGTACAAAAACAATTAGTTTTAATCAAAGCCGGCTCTTTTGCTTTTACTTTTTTTTTTTGGTTAAACCCTTAATTTATTTCTTGAACTGTTGTATAAACCTTAAATTTGATCCATAAACTAAGAAAATTATTAATTTAATCCCTCAATTATTGTATGATCCTCAATTTGATCCTTATTGTTTATCAATTTACTCTAAATTAATCATTCCGAACAAAAAATAATTGACGTATTCATTACACATCACATTAATAATGAGACAATCAACTATTTTTTGTATAGAAAAACCAATTTGGGGCAAATTGATAAATAGTATGGACCAAATCAAGGATTCATACAATAGTTTAGAGGTTAAATCAGGAATTTTTTTAGTTTAAGGATCAAATTAGAGGTTTATATAATAGTTTAGGGATCAAATTGGAGATTTAACCTTTTTTTGGGTTAACAGCAGAGTTTCACTTCTGTGCACTTACTGATATTCGTCTTCTCAGATCCGTTTCTCTTCCTCTACTCAGAGTTGGAGAAAACAGATAGCTGCCGGCGATCGGCATGGCCACCGCCGTTAGGTTGTTGGTTCTTTTTCTACTCTTCCTATCGTCTCCGAACCCTATCCTTTCTCTCTATGAAGATCAAGTAGGCCTTATGGATTGGTAAGCTTCGGTTCTTGCCTCTGTTCGTTTCTCGAGAAAATTTTTAAAAATTCCAATCAATAGCTGTTCATTATGATCCTCAGTGATTGGTAATGAAGAGATTTTGATCCTATGTTGTTTTTTCTTCAAGCTTAATTTCATCCAGAACTGAGTTGAATATTTCTATAATTGATTGATTGTAGGCATCAACAATATATTGGAAAAGTGAGGCACGCAGTGTTTCACACTCAAAAGACCGGCCGAAAGCGTGTGGTGGTATACACCGAGGAGAACGTTCTGGCTTCACTTGATCTTCGCCATGGCGAGATTTGTGAGTTCAAGTTACAATATTGCAATTCATTGTTTTATGAATTTGCTGGACTGAGCGTTGGCTTTTTTTTTGTAATGAGTTTAATTTCTTGCCGCCAACCATGCTTAATTTAATTATCTCCGTTTTTGTTTTAATTTCTAACTTTTTCCATGGAAATCGTGGGATTGATTTTATGCAGTTTGGAGACGTGTTCTTGGCACCAATGATGCTATTGATGGAATTGATATTGCCCTTGGAAAATGTACGTATGCCCTTTTTTTTTTTTTTCGTTGCTTTTATTATTTTTTAAAATATTATCATGCAAGCTTCACATTTTGATCTCTAGGGAACTATGTTTTCCAGCTTTCCACTCTATATTTATTAAGAATGAGCTGTTTGCCCACTTATTGATTGTTCTCTTTGCAAGGGTGTAGTCATATTTGCATATTGCCTTTTGCATTTGGATTGTTATGTATTTATAAAAGAGTGATGAAAATTGTGCTCAAGAGTAGTAGTAGCTTTTGATTTAAGATTTGAATAAACTTAATTTTTCAGACGTCATCACTCTTTCATCTGGAGGAAGTATTTTAAGAGCATGGAACCTTCCCAATGGGCAGATGGTTTGGGAATCTTCACTTCAGGGTCCAAAGCACTCAAAGGCACTACTATCAGTGGAGGTTAGTTTGATCCTTTCTACTTTCTAGTAACCTTCTATTTCTGTTGGTACATTCTCTTCTTCTGCAAGCAGTTGTATCTTGCTCAGCCTGATTTAGCATATATAATTGTCTCTGATATTGACCATAGGGCTACTCTATTTATCAGTTGTCCACGTGGACCATCCCCACTGTAGAAAAGGCAGTTCTCACCGAAACTTTCACCTAAAAGATCTAGTTTCAGTTTGCTGTGTAATGCTATAGCTGATATAAGAGGCTAGTTTATCTGATAAAGCATATTTTGTTTCATCTTTTTTATCATATTTGTTCTATAATTTCAAGAACTTCTGGTGTAGGCCTTTCTTAATGGCAGTATTTAGAGTTGTCAAGGTTTTAGCATGTTACATATTCTACAAGTTTTGGAATGAACTAGTGATTAACTAAAGCCACACTACGCAGAAAGGTTCAAAATCCAAGAAGTATAACATAGTCATCGTTCTCAGTAGAGGCTGTCTCCATGCTGTTTCAAGTATAGATGGTGAGGTTCTTTGGAAGAAGGACTTTGATGCTCAAAGGTTTGTCCAAATACTTCTACATTTTAACAAATTCCCCTCTTCCCCCCTTTCCCCTTCTGTTGGAACTTACATTATGATTGATGCATTCCCTGCTGCTTGCAGCCTGGAGATTCAGCAGGTTATTCAGCTTCCTGGAAGTGATTTTCTATATGTGGTAGGATTTTCTGGTTCCTCTCTGTTTGAGGTGTATCAAATAAATGCAAAAAATGGAGAGATGCTGAAGCATGAAATTGCATCCTTTTCTGGTGATTTTTCTGGGGAACTTTCATTAGTTTCAAGTGAGATGCTAGTAGCTCTTGATGCCACCGGTTCAAGTTTGATAACAATAAGCTTCCACAGTGAACAAATCAGTTTTCAACAGGCATACATTTCACATCTTGTTGAGGGATTTTCAGGGCCAGCAATGATGCTACCTTCACCAGTCACAGGAATATTTGCTGTTAAAATCAATACAGTTACAGTTTTTATTGAAGTTACAGACAAGGGCAAGTTGGAGGTATTGGACAAAACTGAACAACCAACAGTTATTAGTGATGCTCTCTCATTCTCAGAGACCCAACAGGCATTTGCACTAGTGCAACATGAAGGCAATAAGATTCATTTCATAGTGAAGCTGGCTGATAATTGGGGTAGCAATTTGCTTAAAGAAACCATTGAACTGGACCAGCAAAGAGGGCTTGTTCATAAGGTTTTCATACACAACTATATCCGAACAGATAGGTCTCATGGATTTCGAGCTTTGGTTGTCATGGAAGATCATTCATTATTATTATTACAACAAGGTGCAGTTGTATGGAGTAGAGAAGATGGCTTGGCCTCAATAGTTGATGTTACTACTTCAGAACTCCCTGTATATAAGGAAGGTGCACTGGTTGCAAAAGTGGAGCATAACCTATTTGAATGGCTTAAGGTTTGGACCTTATAAAACTTGTTCAAGAAAAGTATTCCTACTGAAAGTTGAAAGGCATAATTTTATCATTGCGTTTTGTTTGAAAATGCATTTTCTTGGGCATATAAAAAGTTATGGTAGGGTAATTGTTTCAATTTTCTTTAGGCAAATCCTTTTGTTTCTATCAACAAATAGCATGTTTTCAATTTCAACACTGTTCTGAAGACCCTTACATGGTTGAAAATATATAAAAGATCAGTTGTACAGGGATCACTTGTGTATTCACAGAAAAAAATATAAAGATTAGATTCTCTCACGATGGTAGTGTTAAAAACCAGTAAACCTAAAAGCTGAAATGGGTGAATAAGTGCCCAACAAATATATGTGCATATTATATTTATATTAAAATTTTCTTAATACGTATTATATGCATCAAGATCTCTGTTACTTGTGAAAAGAAGTATGATAAGCTTATTAACTGGTTATGTTTTTCCTCTTTGGTTCTTACTAGTGCTTGGATATTTTATTTTTTATAGAGAAGGAAATGGCTGCTCTTTTGAACAATGATAATATCACTTGCTCCCTAGGAAACGTATTTTTTCTGCCGTTATCTGTCCTTGATTATCTCCTTTTCAAAGATGAAGTCTTCATAATTTGAAAAATGAGATGAACATGCATCTTATTATGAACTGTTTTTTCTTGGGCAATGTGATTTTGACTTGGTATATCTTTTTCACAAGGGACACTGGTTGAAGCTGAAGGGAACATTAATGCTTGCAAGTCCTGAGGATGTTGCAGCCATTCAAAGAATTAGGTTGAAAAGCTCTGAGAAGAGCAAGATGACCCGTGACCACAATGGTTTTCGAAAGTTTCTCATAGTACTAACAAGAGGAGGGAAACTTTTTGCTCTGCACACTGGAGATGGGCAGATTGTCTGGTCAGTCTTACTCCACTCACTCCGTTACTCAGATAGATGTCAGCATCCAATGGGGGTAAATTTGTACCAGTGGCAGGTGCCTCATCATCGTGCTATGGATGAAAATCCATCTGTTCTTATAGTTGGCAGGTGTGGTCAGAGATCAGATGCTCAAGGTGTTATTTCATTTGTTGATACTTACACTGGGAGGGAGCTTAGATCTTTTGGTCTTGTTCATTCCATTGCACAAGTTATTCCACTGCCATTTACAGATTCAACTGAACAGTGTCTGCATTTGATAATTGATGCTGACAAACATGCCCATTTATACCCAAAAACTCCGGAGGCTGTTGGTATTTTCCAAAGTGAGTTGTCAAAAGTGTACTGGTACTCAGTTGAGGCTGATAATGGCATTATCAGGGGGTATGGTTTGAAGAGTGGATGCGTTGGCAAAGAGGCTGGTGAAGACTGCTTTGATACCCGGGAGTTATGGTCAGTTGTATTCCCCTCAGAATCAGAAAAGATCATTGCAACTGTGACAAGAAAACCAAATGAGGTATGTTTTCTTTTCTCTTTCTACTTCATAGGTTTTCTCAATTACTTCCACTTATGATCCTACCAAAGTGCAATATCAGCAGGGGTGATCGGGACTATCGTCCAGCAATCACCAGAAGTGACTCTTTTGACTTGAAACCACAAGTGTCAACATAAGATTATCAATTGCAGCATGCATTTCCCTGCAGATAATGTTTTGTTGACTTCTTTTTTCCTTGATGTGGATAATCTTATGCTTTTAGACTTTCAGTAACATGTGCAAAATGGGTAATAGTGACTAACATGATAGATAAACCAAAATTTGCTATGTTTTAAGTTGCAAACATGTTTTTTGTAGGGTTTTATGAGTGTTTATTAGTACATTGAACCATGTGTTTCAACTATAATGACTCTCTTGTCATTTGGGCTTTCCAGGTTGTTCATACTCAAGCAAAGGTCGTAGCAGACCAGGATGTGATGTATAAATATCTATCAAAGAACCTACTCTTTGTGGCAACTGTTGCACCAAAAGCTAGTGGTGAAATTGGATCTGCTACCCTGGAGGAATCATGGTTGATTGTATACCTTATTGATACTGTAACTGGTCGCATATTGCACCGCATGAGTCATCATGGTTCACACGGTCCTGTACATGCTGTAAGTTATAGTACTTATGCTTCACATTTTATTGTTGTTAGCTGCAATGCATAACAATATTCCTCAACACTTTGGTAGGTTTTTAGTGAAAACTGGGTTGTCTACCACTACTTCAATCTTAGAGCCCACAGATATGAGATGTCAGTCATTGAAATTTATGACCAGTCTCGAGCGGTATGCATATGAATTTGAATAAATTTTTTTGTATCCCTCCTTCAAAATGTTTACCTCTTTCATCTTATGGATACTATTGGCAGGAAAACAAAGATGTTTGGAAGCTTGTTCTCGGAAAACATAATCTTACTTTGCCCATTTCTTTGTATTCTCGAGCAGAAGCTATGACTAAATCACAATCTTACTTCATTACCCATTCTGTGAAAACAATGGCTGTGACGCTGACAGCCAAGGGTATTACTTCAAAGCAGCTTCTCATTGGTACAATTGGTGATCAGGTTGGTTAAAATTTTCAGAAACAAAAAAGCAGCTTCTTTGATGTGTTGGTTTTGACTTTTTGATTCTTTTTTCAAACTCTAGCTTTGTGTGGATGGAATCCATGAATGTACTGAGTGCAACTCCCTTTTACTACAGGTTTTAGCACTTGATAAGCGTTTTCTTGATCCTCGTCGAACAGTCAACCCTTCACAAGCAGAGAGAGAGGAGGGAATTATACCGCTTACTGATACACTGCCAATCATTCCTCAGGTTAGTTGCCCTACATTCATTTGCAAAAGAATGGTTTGCTTTGTGCTTCTTGTACAGTTGCAGTTTCCCTGCATTCATTCTCCACCTTTCTTAACATAATTGCTTGCTCTTGTTACTTTCTCGAGGAAGTACCTAACAGTTCATTGAGATACCCTTAATCCATTAATGAACAAAGGCAGGTAGGGACACATGCCATACCATGGAACGAACCAACCATCAGACGCATTTTACAAATTTAATTGTATCCTCCTTTTTTGTTTGAGAGATGTTGGAGGTGGTCTATTAATTAGCACAACTAACAAGATTATTTGGACAGTCCTACATCACACACGCTCTTAAAGTGGAAGGTCTTCGGGAAATAGTAATAGTGCCTGCTAAGCTTGAATCGACGACCCTTGTCTTTGCACATGGAGTGGATCTCTTCTTTACTCGTCTGGCGCCTTCAAAGACATACGATTCACTTACAGAGGACTTCAGTTATGCCCTTCTTCTCCTCACAATCGTTGCACTCGTAGCAGCAATCTTTGTAACATGGGTATTATCGGAGAGGAAAGACCTACAAGAGAAGTGGAGATGATTTGAGTAATAAGTCTCTTCTTAATACCTGTCGTCTACTAACAATTTTGTTAACGTTGTAACTGCAGGTTTTAAATTAGATTAGGGAAAGAAACTCTTCCCCTCTAAATCTAATAAGCCTCTGTAGTTTAGCTTCGTTTAATGGCATTTTTTGTTTTTTTTTTTTTGTTTTGAATAAGTTGTCAAGAGACTGGTTTCCAAAAGAAAAATGCACCTCAAGGTTGAATGTCAGTTGACCGAAAATGTCAGGTGCTAATGGCATTTTTTGTTTTTAACTTTTTGATATTGGGAATTTGGAATATCCACGTTTCTCATTAGTAATTGTAATTCCAGTGAATATACTCCATCGTGAAAGTGAACTGTTCTTGGGTCCAATTCACCACAGTAAAAGACAATAGAACGTGAAGGTTGCTGCTTCTTCTGCCACATTCAGTCTGAAATCTGTCTGTCTTTTTTCTCCTCCGTCACAGTTCCATTATTACATTCCACAGCTTCTGACCAAAACCTTTGAACACTTTCTCCTCTATTTCTCCATTGAAGCTTGGAGAAAGGAGCTGCAAAAAATCAGCATGAAAGCTCAACACCACCATAAACCCAAGGCACACCCACGTCCTCTTTTTTCCTGCGGCTTCTTCCGCAACTGTACTCAGTCCTCTCCCAGCCCCACCACTCCGAGTTCCCCTTCGTTCCCACTCTCTCCTTCCCAACCCCAACCACCATCATTGCCTTCCCCACCTCCCCCTCCACCTCCTCCTCCACCACCACTGCCACCTCAAAGGAAAAGCTCAGTCTCACTATTACACCACCCTGAATCATCCTCTTCCTCCTCTTCTTCCTCTGCTTCCCAGAGCTTTACCCAATGGAGATTCCCCCTCGCCACCTCACCCATTCACCAGAACACTACTTTCACATCCCACTCCTACCCACAGTCGGAATCGACTCCTTGTTTTAACCCACCACCTCCACCACCGCTGCCATTTCCCATCACTAATATTCAGGAACTCTTTCACATGGCTGAGCTTCAACTCACCACTGGCTCACTCTCCGACCAGCTTGCTGCCCTCCAACTTCTTGAACGTTCCCTCGTCCCAAACCCTCCATCCAATCCTACTTGCCCTCCCGAATTAATGCGCGGGATTGTTTCAAATTTGAGAAACAAAGCAGGGGCAAAATCAGCAACAAAAATTTTGCTAGCTTTATGCCTGGCGGAGGGCAACCGCCACGTCGCAGTGGAGGCGGGGGCGGTTGGGGCGGTAGTCGAAGTGGTGGCGGAGCTAGAGGGAGCAGCGGCGGAAAGAGCACTGGCGGCGCTCGAGCTCATGTGCACGGTGGCCGAAGGAGCAGCCGAGTTGAGGGCTCATGCACTTGCAGTGCCCGTTATGGTGTCCGTGATGGGACGGTTGGCTGGAAGGGGAAGAGAGTATGCCATAAGCGTAATTTCGGTTATCTACAGTGGTGGTAATGGTGGCAGTGGTGGTAATGGTGATGGTGATGGTGATGGTGATGGTGATGGCGACGGTGATGAAGATGAAAAAGAAGAAGACGCGGTGACAGCGCCACCACAGGAGGTGGCGCGTGCGGTGGTGTTGGCGCTGCAAGGTGAGTGTACCGTGAGGGGTAAGAGGAAGGGGGCGCAGCTGTTGAAGACGCTTCAGGAATATGGACAGCTGGATTTGACCCAATATGGGAATGAACGAATGTGATTTGTCTGTGTAGGGTGTTTTGGTCACAGGTTATTCTGTTGTTGTTCTTCACATGATTGGGTGGATTCACTTAAAGCCCCTGGGCCTATGGCCCAGACAAGGGTTTAAATTCTCATTGATGTGAAATAATTTATCCAAAATTATATTTTCATATTTTCAAAAGAGAAAATGTCCGACATTATTAA